AATGCGCGCCACGTCACGTCGCAGCGTAGGCCAAAAATAGGAGCGACGAACGAGCGCCACCGACCGGTCCCGGCCCACATGGCCAGCACCATGAAGATCAGAAATAAGCTTAAGCCGAAGACTACAGTCTGGGATACACAGACGAAGACCACGAAATAGAAACCCATCAGCCATGGATAGTCCTCAAAAGGGCCCGTCTCAAGGCAGCGCACAATCGGGCCAAAAAAAAGGATCATCAATATAAACCTCTCTCGAGACATCGAACCCCACAACAGTAGTACGCATATCAGACAATAACAATGCACGTCGACTCAAGGCATCGGCCACCCTGTTCGACGCACCAGATCGATGTCGAAGGACAAATGTAAACTGCTGCAGAAAAGCTGTCCAAGAAGCATGTCGAGTAGAGATAGTATCCTGAGATGCCAAATGACGTAAAGCCTCGTGGTCCGTGAAGAGAATGAATTATCTATGGAAAAGATAGTGACGCCAATGCCGGACTGCCTGAACGACTGCATAAAACTCGACATCGTAGGTACTATACCGCAATCGTGGTCCAGACAACTTCTCACTAAAATACGAGACCGGCCGATCGTCCTGACTGAGGACAACTCCATTCGCCACCTTGGAGGCATCGCAAGAGAGTTCGAACAGCCTCGAAAAATTAGGTAAAACGAGAACATGGGCCGATGTCAGTCTGTCCTTTATCAGGGAAAAGGCAGTCTCAGCCTCCGGGGTCCACATAAAAGACTTGCCCGAAAGGCAATCGGTAATGGGTGCGGTGATAGTACTGAAATGCGAGATGAAGCAGCGATAGAATGAAGCAAGGCCATGGAAGCTACGTGCCTCAGTGAAAGAGGTAGGGGACGGCCAGTCACGAATAGCTATCACCTTACTCTCGTCAACACGGATGCCCTCACTCGAAATCACAAAACCCAAAAACAGAACAGACTCTACCAAGAAGCAACATTTACGAGGAGCAGCAAAAAAAGATTCGGCACGTAAAATAAGAAGTACCTCCCGAACGTGTAGTAAATGCTCATTTAGTGTGCGACTGTAAATGAGAATATCGTCGAAATAAACGACGACACTCTTCCCAATAAGGTCCCGAAGAGCCTGGTTCATCACGCGCATAAAAGTGCTCGGCGCATTAGATAACCCGAATGGCATGACCATCCACTCGAAAAGGCCCTCCCGAATCTTAAAGGCCGTCTTCCACTCGTTAACGGGCCTGATCCGAATCTGATGGTAACCGCTACGGAGATCCAGTTTGGTGAAGATGGTGGCCCCGTGCAGTTGGTCTAATAAGTCATCCAACCGAGGTATGGGGAATCGGTAACGGACCGTGATCTTATTAATAGCCCGTCTATCAACGCACATGCGCCAGGAGCTGTCCTTCTTGGGGACCAAAAGGGCCGGAACAACACACGGGCTCAGGCTCCTACGAACCAATCCACGGTGTAGCAACTCCTCCACCTGTCGTCGTAACTCTTCATGTTCAGTTGGGCTCATACGGTAGTGTGGCTTGTTCGGCAGCGAAGCC